GAAAGGAAAGGAAAGGAAAGGAAAGGAAAGGAAAGGAAAGGAAAGGAAAGGAAAGGAGACTTGCAATCATATATATGAACAGGAACAGCTTAAACAGCAGAACTTATGGCAGAAGAATAGGAATACTGCCTACAATGGCTGAATGCATGAGACTAGGAATAGAGTCTATAATTACCCAGCATTTCCCCCATGACTTAGACCAACACCAACACTATTGGTAAAATTAATCTTTCTTGATGGAGGCTCAAGTATGATGACCAAGAATGTTGTTACTGTCAGAATCAGAGGCAAGGAAGATTTGATAAGCAGTATACATGATAGACATGAGTAAGCCAAGCTGAATAATGGACTGAATGTAGTAATTATATCAGGAAGGCCTATGTTCAAATTCTTGCTTGGCCATGAAGAACACTGGGTTCTTCCAGTGAGACAGTCCTAACCTACCGCACTGGGTCATTGCGAAAATAAAGGGAGGGAAGTCATTATAAATGCAGCTCAAATCTTAAAGCATGGAATACATACACATAATACACAATGTAGCAACTTTCCTTTTTTTTTTTTGATGGGCGTAGTCAAAGTGATTAAGATCAGAATTGCAAAAAAGAATACAGTATATACTGTCCAAATACCCCAAATCTGTACAAAATTAGATTCTTACAACTTAGAAAACCAAAGAATTCCCCTCTGTATTTATTGGCAATTCGTGTTTCCTCTCCTAGGAATGGGGTGTGAACACAGAAAGCAAATGCACACTGCTTAAAAATCTACTATATGCAACCTGCAGCTTTCCTTTTTGTCATAACCCTTTTCAGGAAGAGGAAGAGCAGAACCCCATGTGAATTGTTCCTTGCTAGCTGCTTGTACTGGATGGGAGCAACTGTATATAGCACACTATAACAGGAGATGGATTGCCTGTGAGACGTGACTGATAATGCTCTGTTACATATGAATATATGTTAGACAATAGCTTCTTCTCTTAAAAATGAATATATGTTAGTCAAC